ATGCGTCTTTATCATCTTCGTTTTTGCCAATCGTTTGCTGAAATAAAAAGGAGAAATTTCAGCCAGGAATGGAGCCAGGCGATGTGATAATCTTCGTGAATTGTAAAGAGCATGAGGTATTTGATAGACAGGGCAATAATCTCGTGATGAATAAGTGAGTTCATTATTGGTTGTCTTCATTTTGCGATGGACTGATCGGGTGTTCGCTTTCGATTGGTTTTGTTGCATTCATCGATAGTTGCCTGAAGAATTGACAAGCAATACGTTCACGCGATCGATTCAATTTCAGAAAGATTTCACTCAATGAGGCATTGTGTGGTTTCCAGATGGTAATCAAACATTTGGATGGACGTGATTTAGTGATAAATTCAATACCTGGCGAAATTATGGAGCCTGGTTATTATTATCGTCATTATTATTATTATAATCATTATTATTGTTTTCATTATTGCTATTATTATTGTTATTATCAGTGTTATAATTTTCATAAACGTTTGATGTTGAATGAAAATGTGAACGTTTGATATTTGAGGGTGTATTCGTGGTGTTCGAAACGAAGGGATGCCGTTTTATCGTCAACCAGAGATGAAGGGGATATTGTTTATTAAGTTTGATGTTCAATTTCCAGATAATAACTTCTTGGATTCAGAAGACAAATATAAGGTTGTTATTTGTTGATTGCTGAGTTGCGATCGGATGATTTTGATATTCAATGTCCTTCTTTATATTTTTTTGATATCGAAAGGGACATTGCTACAAGCCTCAGCGTGAACTCTGGATGAGCGCAGACGTCATGATTAGATCAGTCCAGGTTGATCTCTATGGTACGCCTGAGCCAGAGGCAGTGGCAACTCTCAGATTAAGGCTTTCCGTATCATAAACGGATTAATATTGAGTCTGATTAGTGATCTGTTTGATTTCAGTTATTAGAGAGTATCATAATGGGTCGTCCACGGGCAATACCAATCCCACAGGGTGATGATTGCGAAGAGGTTTCATTAATGCCTTATGACGAAGGTTAGAAATATTATCATTAATATGAGGATTGTTATAAGTATTATTATTGATATTCTCAACATAATTTTCATTATCATAGCTGATGTAATTGTTATTATTGTTAATAATAATATTATTATTATCTGTTTCGATATTTGTTACTGTTACGTTTTGATATTTGTTGCGATACGGTGAATTTTATGACTGAAAAAAGTGAAAACTTTAGGGAAATTCCAAAATACCGGACGCAGAGAGGCGTACGATGACGATGATGATGAGGAGGATGCGCGAGGAGGAGGTGGCAACGTTCAATGCCATCAGTCATAGTTATTTTATTGCTCTACGCTCTTCACTCGCATTGTTCTCTTTCTTTTTTATATCTGTTCTCTGTTCAATTTCCGATCGATCGCATTATCTTTCTTCCTTATCCGTTCGTTCACCTTTTGATTGACGTCTTATAGTGGTTCCCCTCAGGGCGCAGATAAGTTGATTGATAGAAGTGATATTTGATGGGCGTAGGTGGAATGAGTTTTGAATTATTTGAAGTGTGGATTGGGAATTCCGAGAATTCATTAATTTCATGGAGAAGGTTGAAAAAATTTTTTTGTTGATTATTCGAGTTAGTATCGAAGTCGTACTCTTTTTTTTTNTTTTTTTTTCAAATAGTTTGCTAAAGTCTACACTCTCCGCTACCCATCTTGCAATGGTACGCAGGTTTTCGTTCGTTTTCCAGTCTTTTGGAAGTTCCGATTAAGTTGGTTTCTCAGTTCTTTTCCTACAAACGAATTTCGATTTTTTTGTTGTACTTTTCCACGCTTGACTGACGTTTTATTTAATTAATTTTCCCTGTTGATTCCATCATCATTATCCAATTAGTATTTTCGTATTATTGATTCCGTCGAATAGTTTTAAATTTCACATTGGAGCGTCATTTATTTCGTGGCGATACTGATTGATTGATATTGTTGCCCCTATTTAATTTGATTTGTGATCGTTGTTATTGTTATGATGGCTATTATTCAGATATTGAATGCAGTTGCTTTGAATTGCATAAGTTTGGAGGAGCATTATTCAGTTGATAATCTGTAATTGTAAATGTCTCTTTTAGTTATTTATTTTGCAAGCTTCTTCAGTTGTATTTCTCTTTTATTTCAGTGGTTCGTTATTATTATCGTTACCTTCAGTACTNTTATTATTATTATTATTATCATTATTATTAATATCATTATTATCAAGATGTTATTATAGATGTAGATCATTATGCGGTGTACGTTTACGACGATTTCATTGAATTTCCTTTCCTTTCCTTTACTGTCTTCAAGTTAAGTTTTTTTCGTGGATAGATGGAAGCGAGCGTCAGTTGAAACTAGTTGCAAGTTGTATTTTTGAGTGGTATTTGAATTAGAGGAATGAAAGGAACCTATTGAGAGAAGACTGTGAAGTAGAGAATAGAGGGGACGGGGAAAGTGTTTCTCATTATTCATTAGTAATGGTAGTTTTAAATGTTGCACTTGGCAACATATGATATACCATCGCAACAAAACGGTATGATATGCCATGGCAATGAAACGATTCAGACGGCCAATAGGAGGCAGTTTTGTTCTTATAGGTCTAGAGCTGAAATTTTCTCAAGCATTAAGCGAGCGAGGCCACTGTGCTAGAATTATTATCATTATTATTATTGTTATTATAATTATTAATGTTATTATTGTGTGGTTGAATCTAAATGACTATGCGTCTCGTACAAGGCGATTCAGTTGGCATATTGTCGTTGTTAATACTGATATTATTAGAGTGATTAATTGAATGATTTGATTTGTTTAATAATAAATATCCGACGTTTATCGGTTGATCAGAAAAAACAACTGAAAATTATTGTTGAAAGCGTCGACGGGCGACAGATGATAAGTTTCTTGCTGCTAATGAATGCTGTCATTGTTATTGTTGTTGTGATCGCAATCGAAATGGTCTGATTCGATGAATCGCTGAGTTTTATTCGTGTTGTTGTTTGAATTGACTTAGGTGGATGGCTTATNAATTCATAATGTTCATCGACATATTAATACGAATACATGATCATCGTCGTCATCATTTCGTTTGTTGTCATTTCCATTAATTTTAACAAGAATACGCCGCTTTTTCCCATTATTGATGATATTTATTGGAGAATGAAACGAAGAAATTGTATATGTGTGACGTGAAATAATTTTTATATAAACGTATAACCATTATGTGTACGTGCTGATAAGAATAGTGATCATACGGTACGATCGTGAATGATCGAGAATGAATGGATGGATTTGGTGTTGGATAGTTTGATGATATCTGGTGATGTTTAAGTTTGATTCAGTAGTAATGTGAAATTTGAGTTGTTGGATTTTTAAATGATGTGATTTGAAATTAGATGAATCGAATTGGTTTGAGATGAAATACCATTTGTGACGAGCATGATCAATTATTATGTTTTGTGTTATTTGCTTTTGTTCATTTGAAATTATTCATAAATTTATTCCGTTAAACAACTCATTTAATTTGGGTTATTCGAAGTGAAGCAAAACGAAGTAAATGAGAAAGATTCGTTTCATACATAAGATGAAAGATGATGTGAATAAACTCAATAAAGCTCAGTCTCTGTTTTTGTTGACGAGTTCGTTTTTCATTCGGCACTCGTATGCGATAACATACAATCACTTCCTACCATCGACACTTCAGTAGGATTTATCGAACCTTTTAAAACTGATCACTCTCAAAGTACAAGCAAAAGTAAATACGAACAAATTTCAACGAATCGACAATTCGGTCACATCAACAACTAAAAGTTACGATTCAGTAATTTCACAGAGTGAATGTAAACAAATCATGCTTAAGAAAGTGAATTCAAGTTCCGTGCTCAATGGAAAATGAAATGAAACACACTTCACCGTCCAATTTTACGATGAGAGGATCCGCGTTCGAAAGTGCATTACGCAATTAAATTTCAGTCCGCTGCTTACGATAGCAACGAAAAATTATGATGACAGCAATGAAGATATACTCGAGATATTCTATTTTGCTTGAAGTGTAAAAGCTCAAGAAATAACTGGAATTGTTAGCCACCCGACAGGGAAAATTTATAATCATGATATATACCGTCTTCATATCCGAGAATGAATACCTCGGGAATCTGCATCGAACTCTTTGACTCCAATTGTTAAGTTACGAGAGTTATGCTACTTGACGTGATCAGTGGTGATGATCAATAGTCACAACTGTTTTATATACTGAATTCGTTGAAATTCTCTCAGCAATGTTACGATCCATAAATAAAACATGT